TGTTAAAGGGCGCTACTACAGTCGTTCTTTCTAGCTTCGATGTAAAAACATTTTGCGAAGCAATTCAAAAGCATAAAGTTAATCATATTTATGCTGTTCCACCAATTATAATTAAACTTGTTGATGATCCAGTGGTTCAAAATTATGATTTGTCAAGTGTGAAAATGGTTATAAGTGCTGCTGCCCCATTAGGTGATAAATTGGAAAAAAAATTCTATGAAATGTTTAAAATACCAGTTTTGCAGGCTTATGGTGAGTTTTTATTATTGGATTGTTTTAATTGCTTTCTTAATAAGTGGTATTAATCTTTTTTTCTTTTTTCATTATAAATTTATCATTATAAATATATATCATTAAAAATATATATTACTATAAATATGTATATTACTATAAATATATATATTACTGTAAATATATATATCATTATAAATATATATATTATTATAAATATATATATCATTATAAATATATTTTATGATACAATAAAGGACTTACGGAAACCTCCCCAATATTACATTATCCTGATTTAATAAACCCTACCCCGGGTATTATGTCATTGCATTATTACCGTATAGCAAAGAACATTTCATGTTTCACTAATGTACTATTTTTTAATAGGCTCTATTGGGAAGCTCATTCCAAATGTGAAAGCTAAAATATTGTCTAAGGATGGTCATGGTAACTAGCTTTATATAATATAAATTGAAATGGAATTAAGCCTACAACTAAATCTTAAACTTTTAAAAAATTCTAAATCCACTTAAATTTCGTTATCACAAAATATACTTTAGAATTAGGATACAATGAATGTGGTGCATTATACGTTCAAGGACCAAATGTTATGAAAGTATGTGGTAAAACTTTTATACTATGAACCTTACTACTTGTACTAAAAAGATATATATATATATATATTTTTTAAAAAATAGGGTTATCTTAATAATAAAAAGGCTACAGATGCAGTCTTCGACAAAGATGGATTTTTTGAAACTGGCGATGTTGCATATGTTGACGATCAAGGTATTCTTCATGATTTAATAAAAATTTATATAGTATTTTTATGCGTAATATTTATAATTCCTTATTTTTTATATAGGAAACTTCTTTATTGTTGACCGAGAAAAAGAGTTAATCAAATACAAAGTATTACTATAAAATATTAATTTTTTGCACATGATTTTGAATAATCATTTTACATATGATTATCAATAATCATTTAAATGAATAATCATTTTACATATGATTTATGTTATTGGTTTGACTAACAATTGAATTTAAACTTTACAGGGTTTTCAAGTGGCACCTGCTGAATTGGAATCGATTCTGCTCACTCATGATGCTGTATCAGATGCTGCAGTAATTGGTGATTATTGTGAGGCTGAAGCAACAGAAATTCCTATAGCATATGTCACAATTAAAAATGGACATGAACAATCTCAAGATTTGGTGAAACAAATTCAATCTTATGTTAATAAAAAAGTTGCTCCACATAAGAAACTAAGAGGCGGTGTTTTGTTTATTGATAAAATTCCAAAAAGTGATTCTGGTAAAATTCTTAGAAGGGTATTAAGGGATAAATTAAAGCAGGATAAAATGGTAAATTAATCGGAATATTTAACAAATTGTTAAACTTTATTATTCCATATTAAAGGCATATATTTATGAAACTATAAACCACATCCAATTAAATTGTTTATATGCTATCTATTTCAAATTTATCATCTAATAAAAATAAATATTGGTACCATTAATACATTTATTGGTTGAATAATTTCGTAACAGAAAAATCTAGCATGGGTTTCAAATGATAAGGCATCGCTTCACCCAGTAGTATATTTCTTTTGGTCATATATAATACATTGTTCCTTTGGTCATCGTTACGCAAAATAAGGATGTAAAAGCTTAAGCAACGATTAATTATTACAGCAGTTATTTAAAAGTTAAAGAATTTGCTAGAGAATTCACTTTATAGACGTGATATACGATTATCATCCTGTTCCCACCCCATGCATCTAACTTATTTTCGAAATTGCTATGGTGAATGACTACTCATTCCTCTCTACCTTGGCCATTTCTCTTATTTATTTGTTCAAATTGTTCACCATTATTAGAATCATTGACAGCACAAAGATGCATTTTTATACTCTGCAGCAAGGAGATTTTTAAATTCTAATTTTAGATTACGGCTAACTATATACGAGATTTAAAAAAGAATGCATTGACAAAAATTTTATTAGAATAGTACTGTATAAGTGCGAAATAATGCCTATGAGCATTACTTTAAAAATTGGAACCTTCAAAATAGCATATGCAGCCTCGAGTTAACACCTATGTACATTCTGAATTAACGTGCATCCTCTTGTAAAAAAAATAAAATGTAAAAAGTGCACCAGAACGGACCTACAGGTTAAACCTTTCTTTGTATTTTAACAAAGTTGTTCTCCATGTTGAGACAATTCTAACTATGTAAAAATATTAAAAATCGCCCATTAGATCGCCTGCAAATATAAGCAAACATTTAAAAAATTTTGAAGAACAATTACGAACAATCTACTAGGCTACTTTTGATAAATTTATCAGTATTAAAATCATCTCAATCTGGAGAGCATCTTTAGTTAAAGTACAAAGAAAGGTTTACTTAGTATCAAATCTAGTTTCTGTGCATTTTTATTTTTTACTAACAGTAATTATTATTAATGCACATGCGCATACTCGAAATAACATGCAGGTTAATTAATTAACGTGCATATAGACATTATTTCATGCTTATACAGTATAAGGTTTATAAGCTATAGCAGAGGTTTGTAAGTATATAAAATTTAAAATTTTGAAAATTCAAAATAGTTCAGTATAAAAAGGTAATAGATTAAGAAAATATAATAATTTTCTATAATAAATTTCTTTTTCTTTCAGAATTTCAAGGTCATTATTAAAGAGTTGGCTACATATTACATTAACTTTATACTTTCTTTGACCTTTACTAATATATATTTTAGTTAGTAATTGTATTCAGGTCAAGTATTACTTGGGTTACTTGTAAGTAATCAGATAACCAGGTAATGACTATAGCTACTCAGGTAATACACCTGGGTAATATCCAGGTAGGTACACCCAAGTATTACTTAAGTAAATATATTTAAATAATATCATGTAAGAATATTTTTATATAATTGACTAAATTATCCAGTTTTCAATAGTAAGTATATACAGAGATTATATTCAGATCAGGTATTACCCAAGTTATTCACAGCTAACTAGTTATAGTTGTTTTTATAATTTCTGAATCACCTAATAAAAATTTGCCAAATAGCTTTTTGGCCAATCTGGTTAAGTTATTGATTTTGGCATAATTAATGCATAATGATAAATTACAATTTATGTTACATTGTATATATAAATTATATTGTACTTTTAAAATATATATTTTTATATAGACTAAACACACTATAGTACTAAACATGTTGGGTGAGTATTTAAATGGATATGCTAATATTTTATAATGTTAAAATTTTATCATAGAAAGGTATCACATATAATATATATGTCTTTTATATATACATAGAATATAGAAATATATCAGTATATAGAATAGAGATTTGTATATAAATTTCTGATATATAATTGTTGTTATATAAATAATATTGTTCAGAACTGGCACACAAAGTTAACAAAATTTTTGTAATGCAGATTAATAATTATATGCCACTACATTATTTAATATAAAATTTTATATGTATGTATATATTTATATATAGTATATATAATTTGTAATTTTATTGAATCTATAATAGCAAAATTATAACTTAACCAAAATAGCCAAAAAATCATTTGGCAGATTTTTTATTAGGTATTTCAGAAATTATAAAAACTAGATAATTATTAGAGCTATTCAAGTAGATTTATCTAAGTAATACCTAGATAGATTCATCACCAAATACAACTTATATGGGTATAATGAATAAGATTTTATACTCAGATAATATAATATAATCACTTATTTTTAAACAAGATTAAACTATATAAAGTCAAGTATGATAGTATAAGACAACCAGACTTTAAATTACCAAGTATTTTATTTGTAACTTTTATTCAATTTTTTATAATAAATATATGGCAGTGCAAAAAGATTTGGACCTTACCAAAAATAGGTAAGATTATACAAAGAAGAATGTTGTATAACTAAACTTAAAAATCTTGAAATTTATATATTTATTAGAACATAGCCAAATATATTTGCAGCCAAAATTTTTTTTTACTATGTTTACTTCTGCAATAAAACGAAATAGAATACTACTAACAGACAATAAAAGAGTAATAATAATCAATTTATACAATTATATTTCTAAATTGCTTATTTTAAAAATGACTATCTAATACTTACATTATACAAGCAGGTTGCTAAAGTATTGGGTGTTTCTGAAAAAACAGTAGAGAGTATAGTAGCAGATTAGAACAAGTGTCTAGATAGTGTATTTACACTGCATAAATTTCTTGAAAGACCTAAACTCCAACCTGACAAAAATATCACAATGTTTTTGCAAACAAAGATTCTAAATACCAATAAAACAGGCAAGTCAGTTTTTATATTTATCTTGCACTATTATCTTTTTAAACATAGTTATATGTTTTACAAATAGAAGCTTCTCTGGATATTATATAGTTTAAATTACTATTATAGTTATAATGAATGAAGAAATATTCTTTATAAATCACTAAACAATATTGCTTTTTGCTATTACTACCTTCATTTTTGCTTTTTTAATTTAGAAGCCAAAAATAATATTTCACATTGCCCAAAAGTTTTTTTGAACAAGTCATACTGCTATTTCACTATACTTTTTATAACACATAGGTTCTCTACCAAGATGTAGTTTTAAAACCTGGATATAATCTGTTGGTTGTAATTTTTAGTAATATTATTATATTCTAAGATAGTCATACTAACCAGATACATAGTGAACTTGTTCTAAATTTATTTTATATTTGAAACCTAACAATTAAACCTCAACAAGCTAAGATCCAAAATGAAACAATGCTAATGAATAAAATAATGTTTCTGATGTAGTTAAAAATGCCAATATTACTCCTAACCAAGTAAATTATCATAGAAATTTAAAGCTGAAATTTTTGCAAATCTTTTTTTTAATCTTTGTAAAGATCTTTATAATAAATATGGACCAGTAAATTTTTATATATATGGGGCAAGCTATCACAAAAGATAGTTTAAAAATATTTCTATATCAAACACCAAAAAGCAAGAAATAATCGATTAGCTAATTTTAAATAATATTCTTTTTTTCTAAAAAATTACAATGACTAGAGCTAGCAATAAGATGCAAATCACTAACTCTTCCTGACGATCACTTGTACCAAATTTTCTCTAAAAATAATCACTCTATTCTCTAAATTCTA